TGCCTCAGAAGAATACGAGTCGGGGAGCAGCAGAACCAGAGACCAACACAGCCGCTTGTACTACTCTTTTCATCCTTTTGCTTCTCTTTGCTGCATAATTTATTTATCCTAATTAACGAATATTCTGTTGTTTATCGTGCAGCCCGCATGCGCACAAACAGATTGCAAAATTCCATTCGACTTCAACGCAAGGAAATCGCTGGTTTCCTTCGGTATGCGTTTCTCCCATTTCTCTTCTTGCACAGAGAAAGCGTACTTCATCGTATACCCTGATGGCTGGCATGCCATGAACTGTACTTCTATATGATATATACATCATAAGTAATGTAGTTATCCAATAAACATATCATAGTTTATGTATTCACATTCATAGTCAAAGCCTGCATTTAATGCAGGAAACACTGGAGGATAATTTTTTATATGCATTATGTCTATTATTAAGAAGATATTATGATATTATAACTTCACTTCCTATTATCGAACATTGATTCTCTGCCATGTTGATGTTCATTTTTAGTTAACTGGAGAGGATACACTGCAGTTTATTGTGTATTTCACTGTTGCTGTTTTCTTGTGGTTGTGCTGATAGAGAGGGAAGGGAAGAGGCGGCGAGGCTGAAAGGGGAACACCTGCTCCGCGAATACAAATTAGAGAGGGCTATGGAGATCCTTGTGACAGTCTGTGAACTCCTCATTTCAAGACTCGTAGGCAGACATTGCATTCAGACACCCCTCAATCAGATACTTGTTCTTCCTCCCTTGTTTTGTTGCATCTCTTTGCAAGCCAAGCACAAGATCAGAACCACCTCTCTCCCCCTCCCAACGTATACGGGAGGGACCCCTTCCAAATGTCGAGAAGGGGCCCCCATGTGTTTCATTAAAGTCAGTCCCCCTCTGGGGGCCCCCGTGGATTCTCTCTCGGTTGTTCGTCTATGGTGGCCCCAGTGGGCTCCGGCGAAGGAGACTTCCGACTTCGGGCCCCCGCTGGTTTTCTCGTCGGGGGCCTCCATCGGTTTCCTTAAAGGTAGTTCCCTGTTGGGGGACCTCTTCGTGTTTCAAAGAGAGAGCAAGAAACAGTGCAGACTGCGTGGGTGTTGAGCTGCAGAGCTACCTAGCCACGGAGCGTTCGTGTCCTCCCGACCTACTTTCTCCTATTCACACCCTTCTCTACTGCGAACCGCGTTTAAGTACGCAACGTCTTCGCCGCGTGAAATATGCTTAGACCACAGTGCAGCGCCAGTCCGCTGCGAGTGCCGCTGCTGTCCCAATGGCTGCTGCACGCTGCACCGGCTGCTGCTCCTCTTGCTGCTCCGGCTGCCTCTGAAAGAGCAACCCCGGCTTTTTCAGAGGCGTCACTGACGCTTGCTGCCGCTGTAGCGGCATGTGCCGCAGCTGGCTCAGCTGCTGTTGCAGTTCGACGCCGCATCGCTGCAGCAGATACGTTGAGCTGAAAGTATCTTGTTTAGCTGCGTTTGCTGTCGTGTGGTGTCTGCAGACATCGACGAGCTTGGGACAGTCCGGAAGCAATTTGCAATGAAGTACGGAGATGTTTTCGTAGAAAGCGCTGTGAAGAACGCAAAACAAGAAGTGCATTTTAAGGTAATTTTCGCACAACCCCTGTCGCTTTCCATCGCAAGCAAAAGTACAATCGCAGGCCAGACACACCACACAGCTTTAACGCTGAAAGGCTTTTGCAGTGAAGCATTTTTTTGGATGTTGAGTTATTATAAATTCTGTTCTCCGTTGTCTATGCAGCTCGTGCATGCGCTTTCTCTCGCTCCTCCCCCGGAGTTCGACATTCAACAACTCCTCTACGGGATCGCAGAGGAGTATTGTATATCGGACTGGAAACCGAGCATACCCTTGGTCCGCCGCCTTGCGTCACAGTAAAACGGAAAGTGTTTGTTTTCCCCTGTAGGCTGATCAGGCTTGTGTAAGTGTGCTGAATAATGTGCTTATATTACTGCAGTTCTGTGTAAGCCCGAGCAACCAAAGTAGTTCGCTCTTTGCATTATTTTGCATCTGCAGGAGGCCAATCAGGCATGCAACTTCATCCCCCGGGTAAAGCGTCCGACATTCCCTCTCTGTTTCCTCCTAAGCTTTTTTCCAAACCAACAGAAGAGATACATTAAAATACAGAATGCTTCAGCTGCTTCTGATTGCCTGGCAGGCCTCCAGGCAACACCATGTTGCTGCACAGGAGGTTGGAAGCATCACATGCCTCCGTCTTGCGCTTTCTTCTGTTCGTTTGCTTTCTGAAAGGTGCTGTGTTCTGTGTTTTTGATCATCAGTTGAACGAATACGAACGGTTTCTCTGATGCATATGTTATCTCAGCCGTCGTTGGCGTCGAAGCCAATTGGTTCGTCGTTCCTGAGACTCCCGCCTTTTCCAGAGGTCAGCAATGCTCACGAAGCTCACCTGCGCAGGGCTGTTCGTATCTCAGTTCAAGTTGCTGTGCTTCGAGATTTCCGTATGCAGCGGTTCGCGCAGCCGCTGCTAAAGGAACCCTTCTGCATGCACCTGTTTGTGAGCGATGCAGCCCCAGCTCCACAACCAGCGCGTGCAGCAACATCAGCAACAGCCGAATGCTCAGCCGCAGCAGCAACCACCACGACAGCTCCAACAGCAACGAGAGGCGACTACTGCACCCGCTCCAAAGAGCAGCAGCAAGGAAAGCGAAGGACGGCCCCTGTCAGTCGACGCGGATACCGAAAACAGCCTCCCCAATAAGATTTCAGCGGCAGGTTCCTCTCGCCACAGCGCCTCCGCCGAAGAGAAAAGAGAAAACAGCACAAACTGTCACTCGGAGACCCTCAGGCAACGGAAGCTGCCTACAGAGGACTATAAGTTTCCGTCGCTGCAGCCTCCGCCTAACCCGCGCGACTTCTCTCCTGGTGAGCCTGCAGAACTGGTTAGCGTCGGTGCTATCAACTAGGCGTTACGTCACTCAGTACTACAACAATACCGCTACCTGTGTTGAGATAAAAACGGTCTGGGATATGAAAATCAGGCGGCCGTTTCGATACACAAGCGCAGCCACAAGAATTTTTGAGGGTTCGTCTCTGCGCTGCAGATGAGGCATCACTCGAAGGCCTCCCGGAGGCCCGCTTCAAGCCGAGACAAGACGCAAGATGCAGTAATAGCAGCAGTAGCAGCAGCAGCAACAGCAGCATTACTTGGATTCCTGATGACTGCAGGACGCCCATTCAGCAAGAGATTCCTCTCGGTTCCTGGCCTTCGCCAGAAAAAGCCCCATTTGTTCCTTCTCCTATCGCCGAGGATCTCGTATGCCTGCAAAGGAGAGAGGGAATTCAGTTTACATCAAACCAGAGGAGCTGTAGCAACAGGAGAATGTTTGAGATAGGCTTCCCCCTTTCCAACTCGCATGAGAAAGAGGCCGTTGTACTGCGGACGCCGATACCAGCGGCTGCCACACCTGCCTACTTTCCAATCTAGTGTCAGCTTTCTGTTGTGGAGGGTTGTTCATCTATTCACGCTTTCTCCTTGTACAACGAATGAAACAGCATATCGCAGATACTTCGATTGCATCTCAACGATGCAGGAGATCCCTGGTCTCCGTGTGCTGAGATGTCTTTTCTGCACGTCACTATTTATCTAACGGAACCAAATGACGTCATTTTGCTGCTTGTCTAGTCTGCTGCACTGCATTTCCAAACACAGATACAGCACCAGCTGGGTTGCTTGCAGAAGCGTACAAAAGCAGATGAAAAAAGCTGCATCTGCAGCATTCCGCGTCCCGTAGCANGGGTTGCTTGCAGAAGCGTACAAAAGCAGATGAAAAAAGCTGCATCTGCAGCATTCCGCGTCCCGTAGCATCAAAAGTACGCGGATAGTAGCTGCTGCCACTAGGCAGTGCAGCGGCGGTTCATGAAAACAAGTTGCTATAGAGGGGTATTCCTCTGTCTAGCGGCTAGGCATCGTTGTCTGTCTCGGCATATCTCTGAGCATCCCAAGTGCCCAGCTGCACGACAGAGGTGGACCCGTGCACCGCCTCCAGCAGCTCTTTGTATAGCTGCGAGATGAGAGCAGCTGAAGGGCAAGGGATCTGATAGCAGCGGTCTCCCCTGGCTTCCACATGTCTCATGGACCCTACATGGCTGCGGTGAGCTTTCGGGGATCCGTCGAGACTGCTGAGAGCAGCCAAGACGTCCTTAGGCCGTTGCACAGCCGGCTGACCCGCTCGGATGATGACACCGTGCGTGCTGGCTCGAATGTCCCGAACCAGTGGAATGCTCGCATGCCACAGAACATTCACGTTCTTGCCTGTCCCCCCCCTTTCCGACTCCTCCGCAACCTGAGAGCCCCCAGACGCGTTGCGGGCCCCCCCCAAGTCCACAAAGAACACATCCTTAGGGTAAAACAGCACCACGAAATGCCGAGGCGGCAACGCCTCTTCCTTCAACACGGTTACGAACTTCTGCAGGCGTCGCGTCACGGCTAAACCCAAACACTCCCGCAGCGTCGCCTCCGTCTCATCATA